ACCCCACTTTGGGTCCCGACCCCAACTTTGGGAAACACTGCTCTACACCATCAACTCTAAATGTAATGTTAACAGTTCTTTGTCTCTTTGTAAATATCATATAATTAGTTTTATCCAAGTTTAATGATAATTTGTTGCGTTTAAACCAGACTTACTGGATGGCCTGATCAAAACCTTCAGAACGAGGAGGCACCAGAGTGGGAGTGCTGGGAACCATCCTGTCATCGTCTTCAAAGAAGTGTTGCTGCAGAGGGTGGGGGAGAGCGGAAAAAACAAACACCCTCAATCGRATGGATTACACAATTATTCTAAAATCATGTTGGTCAAATGACTTACAGCACTGCTCGGAACTCCAGGAGTGAGCCTGCCCACTGACTGACGCCGAACAGGGATACGCTGGGGTGGGGGTGGGGAGATAGGTCATTTGAAAGTCAAACACGCATTTTTAAAAAGGTGATTTGACAAGAAACTACATAGCGACATACAGGAACCTGAGCAGGAGGTCCTAGTTCTGATGTTGAGGCGGGGTGGATGTTCAGTCGGGGTGGAAGTTGATGCATAGGTCTTCGTGGTGACTGGGGCATCCGGGTACCAGAACTTGTGACTGATTGCTCTGTTGAGAAGGCCTCCATCGAGCTCCCTTCAACTGAAACATCAATAAAAACATTTGGATACATATAGGTACAAGTGATTTGAATTACTAGTTCACAGTTAAAGGTGCTATATTAAAAACAAAGCCAAGTAAAAGAAAAGAAATATAACAGCAAAAATCTTGTTTAATAGAACGCATAAAATATTAGACAGAAAAAAACTGAAAGTTCTTAAAAATTATAAAATATTTAAATATAGTATTTCATTCTGATTATAAAATAAATGTTTTAAGAGAAAAGTGTTGCAGCATTTGTTTCATTAACTGAGCTGGAAATGACTTATTTTGACCAGTTTTTCCCTGTCAGACAGCATTTTACATATTTTCCAGTCATTAGAAAGGTCAGACAACTACTAAGATGGGGAGACAGTTTGTGAATGTTTGCAGAGAGCTTGAGGTGGATCAACAGAATACAAGTTTTCAACAGAGTTTCCTGGATCTTACAGCTGGGTGTCTGGGAATCTGCAGGCCTCTGGGTGGAGTCAGACGCCCCCAAACTCTCCTCTGTCTCTGTGCCCGGGTCCGTTACATCAGCTCCCTGGGAAAGGGAAGTAGAAAGAAAATTAATAATGAAAAAAAAAATGAGTGGAAAAAGACAACAAAAGAACATTTGATGAACTCGTCAGAGTTACCAGAACATATTGGCAGAGCACAACGTACAGATTAATGATTCATTTTGTCCCTCTGATGAACAAAGATACCTTTCAGAAAAACCCTGAAATTCTAGCTGATATAAATYACTCACTTGATTAATTTAACACCTAAACTTTCACCTTATCCAGAACTTAAAGTRCATTTAGCTTTATTAAGATTAGATTCTGATCATCATGAGAACTGACTTCAAACCTGGAGTCATCCAGGTCATAACAAACCTAAGTAGTTAGACTGAAAGCACCTGGATGACTTCTCGTTTCTTTAATGCCTCTTTCACACGGCAAGATATTTATGATGGGTTTTGGCCCGATTTGGCCTTTTTGACAATCTTAAGGAAGCCCCGATAATCATGATGGCTCTAAAGATGATCTTATGAGATATTCCTGCCGTGTGTGGTGAAATAAGAGTGATCTAGTCACCTCAGAATCACATCAGGAGCGCTCTAATCTCAAATTAGAGATATTCAAACAAGTTGGATCATCTTGGCCTGATATTCCAGTGTGTGGTGTTCCACGAGGAGAACAAGCGCGCAGTCCATTGAATGTGATGTGTAGCCAATCAGAGAGCGAGGAGATGGGAACACAGAGGGGAATGTTCATGAGTAAAATCTGATTGTGTGTGATGTGTTTAGGGTTGGTATAAATATAAATATTGCTCATTTTTATACTGTGGTATGACCTTTAGGAAATACCGGGCAGCGGAGGCGGCAGAGGGGGTGGGGGTGTTGAGCAATTATTGTTTAATGGAAAAACCGCTGCTTTTGAGCATTTATATACATACAGCCAGAGACAGACGTTTTAAAAAATGTCACTCAGAGTCGCAGCAGCGGGAGTCAGACTGAGTTTACCTCTTATTATGTTGAACAGATCAAACAAGTCAAATTACATCTTTTTAGAGTCAACTTCAAAAAATAAACTGACTCTTACTGTGGTCATTTCAAAGCTCATGCATGCTTTTAGCAAGAAAATTCTTTGTGTCGATTGAGTTTGTAGTCATTTCCTTGTCTACAGCACGAGTTCACAGGGCAAAAA